GCCGGTGAGATTAGAACCGCCGAACTGCAGATAACAGTCAGCTGAAGTGGCCTGCAGTACTGCACCCTAACCACTGCGCCACCTCGGCTCTATGACCCAGGTGGTCAAGGCAAGGGCCCAAACCTCCTGAGCTGGGTTCCCCAAACTATCTGAGTTGGCAGCCCAAACGCGGGAGGGGAGGGATAGACAGCACGCACCTTTACGCACACACACACACGCATGCACAAACAGACGTCTGCAATGCAAACAGTACTGTGAGCAGGCAGGCAACGCTAGTGCCCACATAAAGGTCGCAGTGACACTAGTCTGAGGGGGTGTGTGTGTTAATGCGCACATACATGTGCAAACTAGCCAGCCATTCCTCTATGGAGATCCTCTATCATATCCGAAGTGGGGCGTGGGAGGAGTCACAACTCGGTATATTAACACAGCCCTTTTGCCCAGAGACTGAGGTAAATCTTGACGCCACACCTCCTCTCCTCCTCCTGACTTCCCCAGATTAAACTCAGTCTTCGGCCCAGAAGGAGCACTTTCCTGACTCTCCCTTCACTTCGATTCAATTATTTTTTCTGATCACCTCTCCTCATCCGTGCTTCATCTGCTGTTAGCTCTAATGTGTTGCCGCTGTGCTAGCACAAACCCCGAGAGGCCGGACGGTTGCGGTCGGGGTGGGAGGCCTTTACTTAGCCACGAGGAGATCCAGCCATCGGGGGATCGCAGGAAGCAGAGAACCAGGCAGAGGACAGCCTTCCAGAGCTTCCTGAAGATCGGAGCGGCGGACTTGGACCGCAGGTTCAGCAGTCGCCATCTTGGATCGCGGCCATCTTGGAGCATGTGATTGGAGTGTGTGGTTGGCGTGCCTGGTTACGGACGCCGCTGGCACCCAGAACCCACCCTTGGAGCCAGAAGGAGGTTGCAGGGGCCGGTATCCGGGGAGGGCCCATCTGTTGGTGGTGGGCCGGCGTTCGGGCCACAGATTGGCAGCAAGGTCGGGAAGCGCACGGAGCCTTACAGCGGCAGGACGCACAGTCGAGCCGAGGTCAGTACAAGAGGAGGAGGTGGTGAGTAAAGCATGGCTGAGGCTTCGAGGAGCGGGGGAGTGGCGGGCCCTAGATCCCCAAGGGGGATCCACCATAATTTGCAAAAAAATTCGTTCCAAATCAGACAATGTGATTGTCTGGATTTGTTTTCTCATTTTGTCTCTCATAGTTGAGGTCGACCTATGATGTCAATGTCTCATCTTTTTAAGTGGGAGAACTTGCACAATTGGTGGCTAACTAAATACTTTTCTGCCCCACTGTATATACCGCTTCGCAGTGCTTTTACAGCCCTCTCTAAGCAGTTGACAGAGTCAGCCTCTTTCCCCCAACAATCTGGGTCCTCATTTGACCCACCTCGGAAGGATGGAAGGCTGAGTCAACCTTCAGCCGGTCAGGATCGAACTCCTGACTGTGGGCAGAGCCAACCTGCAATACAGGTAGTCCTTGACATACAGCTACCATTGAGCCCAAAATGTCTGTTGCTAAGACATTTCTAAAGTGACTTTTGCCCCAGTTTATGGCCTTTTTGGCCACGGTCGTTAAAAGGAACCCTGCCATTGCTATGTTAACAACACGGTTGTTAAGTGAATCTGGCTTCCCCATTGACTTTTCTTGTCAGAAGGTCCCAACAGGGGATCACGTGATCCCGGGTCCCTGCGACCGTCATAAATACGAGTCCCTTGCCAAGGGTCTGAAGTTGGATCAGCTGAGCATGGAAATGCAGCAACATTGGTAAAGTGGGAAAAACGGTTGTGAGTCACTTTCTTCACTGCCGTCGTAACTTGGAACCGTTACTAAATGAACGGTTGGAAGATCTTTCTTTCGGCTCGTGAGAGGAAAATCGCCACCAATGTCCCTTTGCGGTTGCCAGTTTGGCGTGTTTGTGTGTGTTTTTGTGTCTTTGTGTTTGTGTAGGTGTCTGTGTCTTTGTGTTTGTGTCTTTGTGTTTGTGTCTTTTTGTTTGTGTGGGTATTTGTGTGTGTGTGTCTTTGTGTCTGTGTGTTTGTGTGGGTATCTGTGTTTGTGTTTGTGTCTTTGTGTTTGTGTGGATGTTTGTGTCTTTGTTTATGTGGGTATTTGTATGTGTGTGTGTTTGTGTCTTTGTGTTTGTGTCTTTGTGTTTGTATGTGTCTGTCTGTGTTTGTGTGGGTGTTTGCGTGTGTGTCTTTGTGTCTTTGTGGGTGTTCGTGTTTTTGTTTGTGTTAGTGTTAGTGTGTGTTTGTGTCTTTGTGTTTGTATCTTTGTGTTTGTCTTTGTGTTTGTGTCTTNAAGGTATAAATCTTTAACAACAACAGTTTAAGATATACTTAAAGAAAACGTAGAAAGTTAATAACATCTTTGAATTGAGCTTAGCTCCTCCTTGCTAGGCTAACTATAAACCTTTGGGGTGCTTAGAGAAGCATGGTAGGATTAAGGCAGGGGGGGACCAAGCGCAGGGGCCCCGGGGCTCCATCCTTCCTCTGGGCCCCCAAAGGATTTCCTGGACTCGGGCAAAGAGGGCCTCGGAGGCATTGGTGCATTGGTATCGATGTCTGAAGAGGGGGTGTCGACCTGTGCCCCCGCAGATATTGCTGAACCTCTTAGCAGGCCACAGTGGGTCCTTCGCAGGCCCTTCCCAGGTGCCTTGGGTCATCGTTGCCATTGTATCCAGCTGCCCTTCCGCGCACCTGGAGGGCATCCGGGCTAGGAGAAGCTTAGTTCTGCCTCTTCTGCTCAGGTTCGGTCACTGCAGCAGAAAGGATCTGGGGCAGCCCCACACAGGGGGGGAAGCGGGGGGGGGGAAAGTGCAGAGCCGTCAGCAGGGACGGGGATAATGCCGGAAGAGCCCCCAGCGTGGGAGAGCCTCCGTAGGTTACCGGCAGGAATGCAAAGGGGAGGGGGAGGGCCACCCTGGGGTCTCCGCACCCCAAATCCCCCATTTGCCTGGACCCCCCCCCAAAAGGGAACTCCTAGGCTTCTATGAGCAGAGGCCAGCCAAGGCAGCCCCAGGGTCTTCTCGGCTGCGTCTGCCTGGCGAGGGACGGCTTCCCTCTGCTTGCTGGAGAATGGTGGGAGTTGCTCAGCCTCCCCCCTCCCCCCCCCCTGCTGCATTTCCACCTCTCTCCCTCCATTGCCGGAATGCATTAGGCACCAGCTGGAATCCTGCCTGCCGAGCAGAGGCCCCAGAACCTCCCCCACCCCAGGAGACCCTCTTTGGAATGGTGTGGCCAACCTCCATTCAAGCGGCCTTTCGTGAGCCAAGAAAGCGGGCAAGAGCCCCCCTCTCCCCCCCCTTGAGAGGAGAGGAAGAATCCGTCTTCCACTTTGCTCACGGTGTTGGGGTGGGGGTGGGGGATGTTGTCCCCCAGGTGGAGAGAAGCGGCAGGAGCTATTTCTGCCTCTTGCTGTGTGTGCGCAAAGGAGATTCACCCATTTCTGCTACCCAGCAGCTGGAAAGAGAGAGAATTAGGTCCGGTCATTTGCAGGACACACACATTTCCGGGGCCGTGCGAAGCTGATCCCGGAGCTACCAGGAGAATCGTCGAAATAGGGCTGGTGCAGCAGCAGGTGGAGGAGGGGGGAGGGATGCCCTGGCCAGCTGGCTGCAGCTTTACCTGCCCACGTGGTAGGGTGGCCTGAACCAGCCCACTTCAGCGGCAGCGTAGCTGGATTTCTTTGGATCCCCCTACCTAGCGGGTGAGGATCCGAGGCTTCTGGGTGGAGCTCCAACCGCCAGGATATCAGAACTGAGCAACGTGGGCACCAGGTGGGGGGAGGCTGCTTTGGGGGGATGGGGGTCCCAAAGACACTGAGAGGCTCTCGGGGCACAGCTGGCCATCCTTCCCTCTGTGAAGCTGATGCAGGAGCCACCTGGAGTGGTTGGAAGGTGACTCCGATGCAGGCTGGCTCCCTCCGGTGGGAGTGGGTAGGGGGCTTGGAGGAAAGAGGCTTGTGTAGGGGTCTTCCAAGGGAGAAAAGGGGTGAATCCTGGGAGCATTAAGGGAACGCAAGGGGTGAGGAGACAACAAATGGTCATCTTCACCTTCCCCCAATTCTGGAGCAAAGGTGTGCCTTGTTTTTTACCTGGAGGCCGAGGGACAGGAGGAGCTGGTGGAGAGGCTGCCATCCTCCTGCCCTCTGCCCCCTTCCTCCCTCCGGCTTCAGCTGCAGGAGCTGCACTTCCTGGACCTTTTTGTATTCCGAGGACAAGCCCCACGGAAGAAACCTTGGCACTCCGCCCGGCCTGGCATTCCTCTGCCAGCCCCAGGGCCTTTGTGGGCCGGCTTCCTAGGCCCAGCGTCCTCGGCCTCTTGTGTTCCCGCCAGCAAAAAGGCTCCTTTGTGCCCCCCGGGGGAATGTGCCGTTTGCCGAGCCCCACATTGGCACGGAGCGGGGCCCAGCTGGGCAGGAAATGAGGGCTGTTCTCTGTGGAACATGCAGGGTTAAGTACCAGGGGCTTAACCCCCACAATGCCAGCCTCAGATCGCCCTGCCTGAGGCCGGGGACGGGGGGGGGGGGGGGAGGCAGGAACCCTTCTTGTTCCATTCCTGCCCATTGTTCCCAGAGCCCGAGTGGAACAGGACCAGGATGGCTTGACTGGTGCCAAGCTGACATGGCGTAGCTGCCAGGGAGGGATGACCAGAGCGTCGGAGGGGGGTTATGCTAAGGCCGCAAGCCCAAGATTGTCCTCCTGGACCCTGGTCTTGGACGAAGGAGCCGGCATGCCTGGAGACGAGCTTTCTCCGTTGGGCCACCTGCCCTCCCGTTGGTTCCACCACAAAATCGCGGAGGACAAAATCGCGGTCGACGAAAGCGCGCATTTGACGTCATCACAGCGCGACGAAAACATCGCGCTGTGATCGAAAAATGTAAAAATAAAGCTAAAACCTTACCCTAACCCCCCCAAACCTAACCCTAAACCTGACCCTTAACCTAACCCTAAATCTAACCCTAAACCTAACCGTTAACGTAACGCTAAACCTAACGCTAACCCTTAACCTAACGCTAAACCTAACGCTAACGCTCTAAACCTAACCCTAACCCTTAACCTAACCCTAACCCTAACCCTTACCTTTATGTGAATCGGCTTGGTTTAATTTTAATTTTATTTAAATTTTTAATTTTTTTCGTCGCGCTGTGATGACGTCACATGCGCGCTTTCGTCGAGCGTGATTTTGTCCTCCGCGGTTTTGACGGGTCACGCTCCCGTTGCCCCTTTCCTTGCCTGGTGGCGCTAGAGAGCCGCTGGCAGGCGTGAGTGGTGCCCCTTCAGCACAGCTTCCTTGAAAGTGGAGGGTCCCACTCTGGGCCGCCTGCCCGTTTCTGCCCTGCTTGTGTTCTCGCCTCACAGGTCTCTTCCAGCGAGCCATCATCCAGAGCGGCTCGGCTCTCTCCAGTTGGGCCGTCAACTACCAGCCGGTGAAGTACACCAGCTTGCTGGCTGACAAAGTAGGCTGCAACGTACTGGACACGGTGGACATGGTTGACTGCCTGAGGCAGAAGACAGCCAAGGAACTGGTGGAGCAGGACATCCAGCCGGCCCGCTACCACGTGGCCTTTGGGCCGGTCATCGATGGGGACGTCATCCCGGACGACCCCGAGATCCTGATGGAGCAGGGGGAGTTTCTCAACTACGACATCATGCTTGGCGTCAACCAGGGGGAGGGGCTGAAGTTCGTGGAGGGGGTCGTGGACCCCGAGGACGGCGTTTCCGGCAGCGATTTTGATTACTCCGTCTCCAATTTTGTGGACAACCTCTACGGCTACCCGGAGGGCAAAGACACCCTGCGCGAGACCATCAAGTTCATGTACACAGACTGGGCCGACCGGGACAATCCGGAAACGCGGCGCAAGACCCTGGTGGCCCTCTTCACTGACCACCAGTGGGTCGAGCCATCGGTGGTGACCGCTGACCTTCACGCCCGCTATGGGTCCCCCACCTATTTCTACGCTTTTTATCACCACTGCCAGAGCCTCATGAAGCCACCCTGGTCGGATGCGGCCCACGGAGACGAGGTGCCTTACGTCTTTGGGATCCCCATGATTGGCCCCACCGACCTCTTCCCCTGCAACTTCTCCAAGAACGACGTCATGCTCAGCGCCGTCGTGATGACCTACTGGACCAACTTTGCCAAGACTGGGTATGTCGCCTTCCCCCAGGCTGAGGCTTTGGTGGGGTTTTTTTTTCAGGATGGCATCTCCCAGAGGGCAGGGCTGGCTCACCCCCTCTGCTGTGTAGAAGTGGATATTGAAAGGACCTTCCGCTGCCAGGATCAGGCTGTGCGGGAGGAGATGGGGGGTAAAGCTCTGCCCCACCACCACCCCGGCAGATTAAGTCCCAGGGATCTAAAAAGGATTAAACCAAAATCTGTTCTCCTTGCAGGGGGAGACTAAGGGGCTCCCTGGACCAGTAGTTTGAGGGCCCTGGAGGTAGCGTCTTTTTCCAGTGCCCCCCAAGGATTGAACGCCTAGATCTTCCTTCTGTAGCCTACTCCCCTCCGGATGTGCTGGGACTGCAGCTCCCAGAGCTCCCAGCCAGTGTGATTTAGGGAAAGTCCAGCTTTAATCCTTCCGATGACCTAAAGACGAATCCAGGTCTTTGCCAGGCTGGTTTTTGGTTCTGAAAAGGCTCCGCGCTCTGCAGCCCTCAAAAGCCAGAGAGTCTGTCCAGGTGTATCAGAGCCCCTTGGGGCCAAAGGCCCCTCCTTGGCAAGATGGCTCGATTGGGAAGAATCCTCCCCCCAGGGAGCCCCCTCGTTAGTGGCACACAAGGGGTGGCTGATGGCGGGGTGGCTGATGGCCCCTCCCACCCTTTCTCTCACTCTCTCTCTCTCTCTTTCAGGGACCCTAACAAGCCAGTGCCCCAGGACACCAAGTTCATCCACACCAAGGCCAACCGGTTTGAGGAAGTGGCCTGGTCGAAGTACAACCCCCGGGACCAGCTCTACCTGCACATCGGCCTGAAGCCTCGAGTGCGCGACCACTACCGGGCCACCAAGGTTGCCTTTTGGAAGCACCTGGTGCCCCATCTGTACAACCTGCACGACATGTTTCACTACACCTCCACCACCACGAAGGTGCCGCCCCCCGATACCACCCAGAATTCCCACATGGCGCGCCGTCCCAACGGGAAGGCCTGGAGCACCAAGCGGCCAGCCATTTCCACCGCCTACACCAGCGAGGGCTCGCAGGAGAAGTGGAACCCCGAGCAGGACGGGGCAGGCACGCTCCTGGTGGAGAACCCCCGGGATTACTCCACCGAGCTGAGCGTCACGATTGCCGTGGGGGCCTCCCTCCTCTTCCTCAACGTCCTGGCCTTCGCGGCGCTCTACTACCGGAAGGACAAGCGGAGGCAAGACACCCACCGCCAGCCCAGCCCGCAGCACGCCCCCGCCACCAACGACATCGGGCACACCCCGGAAGAGGAGATTCCCTCCCTGCAGAGCAACCAGTCCCACCTGGGGGACTGCGAGGCCGTGCCGACCCACGATGCCCTCCGCCTCACCGCCTTGCCCGACTACACGCTCACGTTGCGCCGCTCCCCCGACGACATTCCCCTCATGACGCCCAACACCATCACCATGATCCCCAACTCCCTGGTGGGGCTGCAAACCCTGCACCCTTACAACACCTTTGCTGCCAGCTTTAGCAGTACGGGGCTCCCTCACTCACACTCCACCACCCGGGTATAGCCGCCATGCACACGCTCCACCTCACTGGACCTTGGGCTTACGGGGTCAGGCGTGGCCGCTCTCTCGGCTCGTAGTATCAAGCGCTTTGCTCTCCTCGTCTCCAGAGCAGCTGAGGCTTCGGGGAGTCCGGCAGAGAAGGCGAGACCCCCACCCCACCCCCACCTGGGCTGTCCCCAGTAAACCCTTTCTGCTCCCAGGTCCAGCTGGCACTGCCAAGGAAGCCCAGGACAGGCCCTCGCCTTCTGGAACACCCGCGGGGGACTCCACCTGGGCACCTCCTAGTGGGCCCTTGGAGCAAAGCTTTGCCCGTCTCTCTCTCTCTTTCTCTCTCTCTCTCTCTATACCAACCTAGAGCCACCCAGAACGGCTCCCACAAGCTTAGATGCCACCTTGTGGCGGGAGATGGTTTCGCACTTCTCGGAGCTCTTGGACGGCTGCCATTTGGCAGTGGGTGGGGGGTGTTTCTCGACCCCGTAGCGGATCCTGAATCCCCTGCCTGGCCTTGATGCTGGGCCTGGTAAGGTACTGCCTGGTACCCTGGCTCCATATCACACTTTCCATGTCGCGGAGATCCTGTCTGTCTGTCTGTTTCTTTCCAAAAGACGTTTTTTAAAGCAGATCTTTAGTTCTTTAAGCACTAACGGAGGCACCGTGTTTCGTCCTTTGTAAAGATTTTAAACTAAGTGTTCTTGATACAGCCAATTAGATACACACGTCACCCAGGCGAGCACATCCATCCCCCCCCCTTCCTCCTCCTCCTCCTCTTCCTCCTCCTCCAGCTGCATCTGTGCCAAACTACGAAACCAGCAGGCTTCCCCTCGGGGCGGGCAGTGGCGCAAAGTATACCACAAGGCCATTTTGTACTTTTGATAATGCCCTTCCTAGCCATCGTGCCCAGCGGCCAATCCATGCCCCCGGGGGGACCAGCAGCCTCTCTCCTGCCCTCTTGCCCTGGCCAGCGGCAGCCCCACGGCACAGCCGCATCGGCGGGGGGGGGGGACCCTCCTCCTCGGCCTTCTTGCCAGCCCCACAGCCCGCCCTGCCCTCCAACTCACGGCAACCCCTCTGCTGGTTGGAGAGGCGGGGAAGGAGGAGGGTGGCACCTGTAGGGGCAGCGGGTTGGACGCAATTGGGGGGGCGGGGGGACCCTCTTCTTCTGTGGGCAGAGTGTTGCAGGGGAAGCGCCCTCGAGGGGGGGGGGGGGCAGAAAGGGGCTTGCCCCCGTGCGGCTGGCGGGCAGAGGCTGCTGGTTGGCAAGAGACCCTGCAGTGGCAGCTTGAGGACTTGCCACCGGTGGGTGTCGGGCCTGGGGTTGGGGGTGGGGAAGAGGGCAGGGGAAGATGGCAGACAGCAAGCCCTGCCTTGTTCGCAATCTGGCAGCTTGAGTGGCAGGAGGGCCCTTCGGACGGTCAGCAGCCCTGTCAGCTGGCAAGGGGAGGATTCTGAGGGGGTGGGAGGGGGACACGTTGAGGGGGGGGGCGCTGCAAGCAACTCAGGCGGTGGGATTCGATCCAGCTTGCCTGGAAGTGTAAAACCTCTGCGTGTGTCTCCTCCACCCGTCACCAGCCTGCTCCTCGCTGGGGGTGGGGGTTAGGGGGGGTGGGTGGGGAATGTATCCTGGAGCAGAGGAACCAGAAATTCCCAATAAACTGGAAGGGATATTTTTAGCTCCTGGCTGCGCTGTCTCTTCTTGGGCTGGGGTCCCGTTGGGGAGGGGAGGGAGGAAGAAGGGCGGGGTCTCTCTCCTGTGGCGGCCTGCGATCTGGAGAAGACCCCCACCCATGGCAGCAGAGGGGGGGGGAGATGCAAGCCGGCGCCCCTTGGAAACTTCTGGTCCTTTCCCCCCAAATGTCTCTTTGCCAAGCGGGTTTTCGCTCTGGGGTGAAGAGGGGTGTCTGCTCGGGGCCAGAAAGCGGGCAGCACCCGGGTGGGGGATTCAAGTACCCCCTCCTCCACCCCTCCAGCAAGCCCTTGTCCTTTGGAGCAGCCAATGAGGGATTCCTGCCTTTAGGGTCCCGAGGCCTTTGGGGGCTGTGAGTGGCAGAAACCCCTCTCTTTCCCCCCCCCACCCCACACAAGTGCAGCCATTACCTCTGAGGGCAACCTGAAGCTGCAGCTTTGCCCGCTCTCTGTTCATTGGCAAAGTGGCACAAGAGGGCAGGATTCAACCGGTGCACTTAGAACCCAACGCCAAGGACCATCACTGGTGTGTCTTGCCATGCATCCTCGGGGTGGAGGGCGCCTCCCATCACCCCCTCCTTCTGTGCCCCTCCTGTGCCCCTTCCTTTCTCTTCATTGCTCGATGCCAGTTCTGGTGGAGTTTCCATGGCAACTGGGAGCCCCAAGCTGAAGGCTTTTGCAGCAGGCACCTGGACCAAGGCACCTGTGTGGGCGGGCTAGCTGAGACCCCACTTCTGCGTCAGGATGGGTGGATGTGACCCAGCTTTAAAAGGCGGGGGGGGGAGGGCGAGAGGGGCAGACCCATTCCAGAGCCTTCTAGCTCCCATTTTGCGTGTGCCAAGGCCTCCCAACCACGGCCGATCCTGCCTCACCAGTCAGGAAGGGGCTCCAAGAAAAGCCTGCAAATGCCAAATGTGCCCCCACCCCAAAAGGGGCTTGCAGGGGGTCATTGCTGAACGATCCCCAGATACCACCAGCTTAGCAAGAGGCACCTGTTTGCGTCCCAGGATGAGACCCCCCCATCATTCTATAGGAGGCCAACCTCCCTTAGCCGCTGGAGGGAACGCCTGGGGGGGGGGGCTCTGCCAGGCTATTCTCCGCTGCTCTCCCCTCCCCATCTGCACTGCTTCCGACCCTCAGAAATGCCCCCCACCCCCAAGCAGCCTCTGGTTGAGAAGGATGTTTGATCCAGTCACCTCCTCGGCCTTCCANGGACATCAATACCCATAATTCCCCAGCCAGCATGCTTTAAGATGGGTGGACTCCAGGTAGTCCTCGACTTACAACCATTCATTTAATGACCGTTCAAAGTTGCAACGGCACTGAAAAAATGGGATGACCGTTTTTCACAGTTACAACCTTTAAAGCATCCCCATCATCATGTGGTCAAAATTCAGATGCTTGGCCACTTGTTCATATTTATGACGGTTGCTGTGTCCCGGGGTTACATGATTCCCCTTTTGCGACCTTCTGACCAGCTAACTCCAAGGGGAAGCCCTATTCGCTTAACAACTGGGTTACTGGGTTACCAACTGCAGGGGACTCACTTAACAATGGTGGCAAGGAAGCTCGTAAAACGGGGAAGAACTCACTTAACAAATGTCGCAACAGAAATTGTGGGCTCAATTTTGGACCCAAATTTTGGGTCAGGCCTGCAGCCATCTTTTCTTTTGGGTCTTTGGCCTGCCACACTTTCTCTTATTCTACTATGCATTTTCTATTGTGGGAAAATGGGAGGTGGGGATTGTATGGAGTTAGATGATAGGTAGCCATAACAACATTCTTTCTCGAAAGCCAAGGTCATCCTTTGTCTCTGTACCTCTGCACCTGACCAGAACTGGATGGGTGGAAGCTGCCAACATGGCAGTGGGAGATTGGACCATGGGATGGGCTTGTGGGTGTGGGGGAAACATCTTGAACTTTCAACTGGGTGAGGGAAACCGGGAATCTTTCAGATTCGGGTTTCCCCAGATGTGCCAACATGGCTCCCTTAATAAATTGGAACTTTGAGCAATACTTTGCCTCGGACTCGGATTTACTTTTGGATGCTGTTTGGAACCCTGAGAATTATATTTCCCTGGATGAGACATTGAGAAACATGCTCTTGGAGACAGAAATTCGGCCCCAGATCCCTGCCCCCCCCCCCCAATCAGATATTTCGGTGCCATCTTATCTACAAGACAAAAGACCTTCAGATCCAGGATGATGGGACTATCCTTCAGGGCAAAGCCGTTCAGTCACAATAGGAATTGCCCTTCATTGCATCACCCAGCAAGATTCAACCAAGCCTGGGACGCAGAACGGCCTACAAAGTTAGTTATGACCCCCGCATAGCCCCAACCAGTGGTGGGATACTACTGGCTTAGCAACCGGTTCAGCGATCATGTGCTTCGCGCGCGTGCACAGTTTTAACAAAACATGCCTTCCACATTACTACTGGGGAGTATCACAGCTGAGGTGCGCCTATCCGCTATGCCAGGCGAATCAGCTGAGAGGATATAGGTAAGTGGGCGGGCCCAGCAGATCGTCAGAATGAACCGGTTCACTCCCCAGCTGATCGTTGGAGCTACCGGTTTGTCCGAACTGGTCCGAACTGGCTGAATCCCATCCCTGACAACAACCAATAGAATACATTTCTTGCGCAGGAACAGGAAGCTCAAGGGCAAGGCCCAAGAGATGGTATAAATACCTCCCTCTCCTTCCTCCATGTGTTCAGCTGCACCAGGACCTCAAAGCATGTGGTCCGGTCCACCATTAATACCCTCTTTCCAAACAGCCTCCATGTTTCCAGTCTCTTTCCCCCCACTTGGAACTGAGCCCAGATGGATATTTCTTCCAGCACTACCTTAGGGGTTTTCCCTCTGCCTTTTGATTGCAATCAAGACCCGAAATTCCCTCGGAGACGGGCAAAGAACATTTCAATAAAAGCCATTAATTCCTAATGAAAGAGAAAGGGGGAAAAAAATGTTGAAAATGATTTCTAAAGACGTCATTTCCCTCCAGGCCAGCTGCATTTTCAAGGAAAATTTGGATTTATGGATCTTTTGGCACAGAAAGCCCACACTGAAGGGTGAACATGAAGATTTCAGAGCTACTAATCTATCTTAGAGGGGGTCCAACCTTGGCGACTTTAAGACTTGTGGACTTCAACTCCCAGAATACCCCAGTCGGCCACTCACTGGGTCGAAATAGTCTCTATGGCCACAGCCCCGTTTTGGGGAGCAGCATGGAAATAACTGTGTTTAATTAAAGGGTTTTTTTCTACTTCCCAAACGAACGTACAAGAGACAGCTTGGTGTAGTGAATTAAGGCACGAAAGCCAACAGGGTGACTTTGGGCCAATCACCGGGAGATGGTGAGTTCTAGTATCGCCTTAGGTAGGAAAGCCGACTGGGTGACTTGGGGCCAATCACAGGGCGAGATGGGGAGTTCTAGTATCGCCTTAGGTATGAAAGCCAACTGGGTGACTTGGGGCCAATCACCGGGAGATGATGAGTTCTAGTATCACCATAGGTATGAAAGCCAACTGGGTGACTTGAGGCCATTCACTGGGAGATGGTGAGTTCTAATATCGCCTTAGGTATGAAAGCTGAGTGGGTGACTGGGGGCCAATCAGCGGGAGATGGTGAGTTCTAGTATCACCTTAGGAAAGCCGACTGGATGACTTGGGGCCAATCACCGGGAGATGGTGAGTTCTAGTATCGCCTTAGGTATGAAAGCCGACTGGGTGACTTTGGGCCAATCACTGGGAGAGATGGTGAGTTCTAGTATCGCCGTAGGTATGAAAGCCGAGTGGGTGACTTGGGGCCAATCACCGGGAGATGGTGAGTTCTAGTATCACCTTAGGTATGAAAGCCAACAGGGTGACTTTGGGCCAATCACTGGGAGAGATGGTGAGTTCTAGTATCCCCTTAGGTAGGAAAGCCGACTGGGTGACTTGGGGCCAATCACGGGAGATGGTGAGTTCTAGTATCATCTTAGGTATGAAAGCCAACAGGGTGACTTTGGGCCAATCACTGGGAGAGATGGGGAGTGCTAGTATCGCCTTAGGTAGGAAAGCTGACTAGGTGACTTTGGG